TCCATTAGTACCTGAATTCGGGCGCCGGTGGTATCGGCGGTATATTCGTGAACGAAAAGTTCACTGAAAAGGGCGGTTGCGAGACATTCCCAATGCTTCAGGGGTGGTGGGGGAACAACCTAAAAACGAAATTTTTGCTTAAAGATGGTATACATTTATAATTAGATTACACTATAGATTATTATTAATAGATTAAATTATAAACTATAGATGGTATTAAATTTATTATTTAGATTAGTGCTACCCAGACTTATGTTAAGCGGTAGAGCTACACTTTCATATATCAAATTGCCTACATGTACTCCCAATTTTAGATTTTAAATTTTTCATGGTATTCACTCACTCTTTACGCAATTCTATACACTTTCTGTCGAAATGTATTCAGACAACACTTTTTAGATATAATTGTAATTTTATGCAAAAGGTCGTTGAGTATTAGATTTAGAGCTTAAATCAATTTGAAAATTTTTCTCTTAACGATAAGGATTAGTGGAATCGTAAATTAATTGACTCTTAGATAGTTTTGAAACTAATGCTAATTGCAATTAACGAATTAATTATTGCATTTCAGTGTAGAAATAGTGTAGTCTTTCGAAACGTTTGATATAATCTATTAGTACACAAGACCTACAAATTGGCGAAAATTAATGTCTTTTTACTTACTTTTGTTCATAGATTTAGATTTAGATTAAAAACATTTCAACTTTTATTGAAACTCATTTAACATAATGTTGACTCTGAATAAATAAATGCAATAAATCTCAAATAATTAGTTTCACAGAAGTATGAAACACACAAATACTTGAAAATACTGGACTTTTGCTTAACACACAAATCTTTCCATTGTTTTGCACAGAATTTGATCCAAGTTTTGGGGCCGATATGTTTAAACTGAGTAATCCCTCGCCTGTTCTCAATGCTATGCTTATGGCGAGTCTTGATGTAAGTGTAGCTCACACTCGAGATATTCCCAGATATTCCTAACCATAACTAACATACGTTTCCATACATTACGAAATTCATCGACAGATTTATAGCCAAACCTCAGTCGAAGAGTTAAAGGAGAAGCAGTTCCTTCTGACCGGTTATCTTGAATTCATGATTAAGACATACTTTCCTCAAACGTCGAAGAATTCCAGCGATAATATACTCATTAGAAGTGGTAATCGACGAAACATGCCTTCAGTCGAGATAATCACACCATCAGATCCCGAGCAAAGAGGCTGTCAGTTATCACTCATTTTCTCCGTCCCTCTGACTCCAGTCCAGGAAGAGATGCAAAAGCGAGGAGTTGTGGTAAGACTTGATTACTTTCAATGGTTTCATAAGTTTACCACAATTTCCCTATAATTACAGTGCGATATCCGAATGCCGAGTGTCATGAGAGTGGCTCCCGTTCCCCTCTATAACTCCTTCACAGACGTCCATAAGTTTGTTAGAATTCTATACGAAATATTCCTCGGCTTTGACACCGAGAAGAGGAAGTTCGACACTCAGATGTCTAATGAAGATCTTATGACCGAAATCCATGGCGGAGATTCCGACGGTCTGTCCCTGAGCTCATCCAACAGCAGCGCCTGTCCCTCACCCACCACTGTCTCCGACTCAGAGCCCGACTTCGTTAGCGCCACAAACAGACACTTTATTAACNTGCAGCATGGTGCACTTACAAAGTTTGTACCCACTATTCATTAGCCAAACAATACAAATCAATAATACATGTCCACATCCATTAGTACCTGAATTCGGGCGCCGGTGGTATCGGCGGTATATTCGTGAACGAAAAGTTCACTGAAAAGGGCGGTTGCGAGACATTCCCAATGCTTCAGGGGTGGTGGGGGAACAACCTAAAAACAAAATTTTTGCTAAAAGATGGTATACATTTATAATTAGATTACACTATAGATTATTACTAATAGATTAAATTATAAACTATAGATGGTATTAAATTTATTATTTAGATTAGTGTTACCCAGACTTATGTTAAGCGATAGAGCTATACTTTCATATATAAAATTGCCTACATGTACTCCCAATTTTAGATTTTAAATTTTTGATGATATTCACTCACTCTTTACGCAATTCTATACACTTTCTGTCGAAATATTCAGACAACACTTTTTAGATATAATTGTAATTTTATGCAAAAGGTCGTTGAGTATTAGATTTAGAGCTTAAATCAATTTTAAAATTTTTCTCTTAACGATAAGGATTAGTGGAATCGTAAATTAATTGACTCTTAGATAGTTTTGAAACTAATGCTAATTGCAATTAACGAATTAATTATTGCATTTAAGTGTAGAAATAGTGTAGTCTTTCGAAATGTTTGATATAATCTATTAGTACAGAAGACCTACAAATTGGCGAAAATTAATGTCTTTTTACTTACTTTTGTTCATAGATTTAGATTTAGATTAAAAACATTTCAACTTTTATTGAAACTCATTTAACATAATGTTGACTCTGAATAAATAAATGCAATAAATCTCAAATAATTAGTTTCACAGAAGTATGAAACAGAGCAAATACTTGAAAATACTGGACTTTTACTTAACACACAAATCTTTCCATTGTTTTGCACAGAATTTGATCCAAGTTTTGGGGCCGATATGTTTAAACTGAGTAATCCCTCGCCTGTTCTCAATGCTATGCTTATGGCGAGTCTTGATGTAAGTGTAGCTCACACTCGAGATATTCCGAGATATTCCTAACCATAACTAACATACATTTCCATACATTACGAAATTCATCGACAGATTTATAGCCAAACCTCAGTCGAAGAGTTAAAGGAGAAGCAGTTCCTTCTGACCGGTTATCTTGAATTTATGATTAAGACATACTTTCCTCAAACGTCGAAGAATTCCAGCGATAATATACTCATTAGAAGTGGTAATCGACGAAACATGCCTTCAGTCGAGATAATCACACCATCAGATCCCGAGCAAAGAGGCTGTCAGTTATCACTCATTTTCTCCGTCCCTCTGACTCCAGTCCAGGAAGAGATGCAAAAGCGAGGAGTTGTGGTAAGACTTGATTACTTTCAATGGTTTCATAAGTTTACCACAATTTCCCTATAATTACAGTGCGATATCCGAATGCCGAGTGTCATGAGAGTGGCTCCCGTTCCCCTCTATAACTCCTTCACAGACGTCCATAAGTTTGTTAGAATTCTATACGAAATATTCCTCGGCTTTGACACCGAGAAGAGGAAGTTCGACACTCAGATGTCTAATGAAGATCTTATGACCGAAATCCATGGCGGAGATTCCGACGGTCTGTCCCTGAGCTCATCCAACAGCAGCGCCTGTCCCTCACCCACCACTGTCTCCGACTCGGAGCCCGACTTCGTTAGCGCCACAAACAGACACTTTATTAACCAATAGACAGACCGTGTGATTGCCAAACCTATCAACACATATGAATAGCTCTTATAAATGCATTTGAATAACCAGTGAATTTAATAATGATAATAATAATTACAGTTATTTATTACAGTATTATTAATATTACTCTATTTTTGAAAGTGTTCATTGACTCTAAATTGTAATCTTATTTAATAATTATTGTAATAATTATTAGATTTAATTAGATGCTTATTTTAATTATTTTAATTCTTATAATTAGATGTAATTCGTTAAACATTTACTTTTTTAGATATTATTATATAGATGGCTATTATTCTAGTTTTATAACAAATACAGTATATTATGTTACTATTTTTATATACACATTATAAAGTTAGAATAGCAATTTTTTCAAATAGTTAATTTGCTAAGAAATGAATACTTTACAAAATATACACCTATTTTGCACCCTTCTATTTTTATGTTGATTTGACCCTAAAGTTGTGAAACTTAAACAA